GTATCGCGATTAATCGATGACTTTGTCAATCATCGCGATTAATCACGAAAATCATCAATTAATTGCGATTAATTGTTGATTTTAAGTGATTAAATGGTTGTTGTTATTCATCGTTTTCTTTTGCAATAAAGTTTGTATATAAGAAACACGATTTCAGCGAAAAATACACTTATATTCAGATCATCTTTTTATTTTAGAATGCAACGGAGTTGTCAGGAGTCTTCTCTATTGTTCCTTAGAGCTGTAAACCGAGAAGTGCACTGAACAGCTGGTATGTGGGCAATGTTTAAAGCTGACTCGTCGGCAAGACTCCGACGCCAGCTGGTGCTAAGACCATTGCTGTGTGGCGCACATGTCATTATACGTAATAGACAATAAAAAAACAGAAAAAAATATGTATTTCCTAAGATGGGTTCGAACCTAGTACCTAGGAAAAAATAGTCAATTAATTGCGATTAATCGCTAAAATCACCTAAAAATCGACAATTAATCGCGATTAAGCGCACGATTAATCGTATGATTTTTCACGATTAATTGCCGATTTTTAGTACATGGGTTAGAACCATTCTGAAAAAGAAAGATGGGCCGATTTTTAGTACATGGGTTAGAACCATTCTGAAAAAGAAAGATGGGCCGATTATTTAGCCTATATTCTTTAAAAAAAACGAACCATAAAAAGAGTATTTCCATGCCGGGATACCCTCTTTAGAATCACTGAGTAAAAAATGTAGATACCCTCTTTCTTTTGGTTCTGGGCCCTTCCTCGCAGGTCCGCCCATTATTACATTCACTATTAGTCGTGAAACTTTCACATTGCCTCTCGTGTAGAGTATCAAAAATAACCAAAAGGTCTCGCTTACGCTTTTTGGAAAAAACGTGTGGAAAGTGGTTTTCTAGATACCTCAAGTTTTTGGTGAGGGTGAAACCGAAGTCGATGAAGGTGAATGAAGCATTGCATAATTATACATCAAATTATAGCTCTTGACGAGTTGATTCTAATGGTGAAGGAATTCAGTCTCGATCTAACTTTACATTCAAGTGGTACTCAATTTACTTGAGAAATTCCTGAAGGTTGACCTCGATTTTCTCCTAAACGCTCTGAAAATTTTTCGAGATTTTTTTCAGAATAGGAACTACTTTGTAGAATCTATAACTTTGCTCATATAACTATCCTCGACACTTTCCATTTTCTACCCTCAGTTTTCCATAAAACCCGTTAAAACCTTACTTCATAAAAAGAAAATTGGCCTATTATGACCCTATATTCCTGTTCAACATGAAGAATTTTTAAGGATTCAGGAATTTTCAAGTAAATTAAATACCACTCGAATGTAAAGTTAGATCGAGACTGAATTCTTTCACCATTAGAATCAACTCGTCAAGAGCTACAATTTGGTGTATAATTATGCAATGCTTCGTTCACTTTCATCGACTTCGGTTTCACCCTCACCAAAAACTTGAGGTGTCTAGAAAACCACTTTCCAGACGTTTTTTCCAAAAAGCGTAAGCGAGACCTTTTGGTTATTTTTGATACTCTACACGAGAAGCAATGTGAAAGTTTCGCGGCAAGATGCTCTGTATAAAGTGGGGGGACCTGTGTGGAAGCACTCTTCTGTAGAATTAGAAATACCCTAAACCGTATTTTACAATGTCATTTTGGTATTTCAGCGTACCCTTTTTAGTTTTGTAAGAATTCATTGAGAGTGTTCAATTATCCCACAGAACCGAGAAAAAGAGACTATCTACATTCGTTACTCATCCCGGCATGGAAATATCCTTTTTTGGTTCTGTACGATACAGAGTAGACACCCATCCTTTTAAACTTATGAATATTATTAATAAGCAATATGTAGGTTAAGTTCCTATTCTAAAACATCATATCCTGTTCTCCCTTTCGACCCGTCTGTGTCAAGAAATTCAACTAGAACAGTTTAACTGTACGATTATACGTCAACCGAAGTTTACTCTTTACTCTATTAGAGTAAACTTCGGTTAACGTATAATCGCACAAGTCTTAGCGACATCTGCCAAAATAAATCGAAGTATTCTTTCGAATTGATAGTAATAAAGTTTCCTCTCATCATGGAAATAATAAAGCTACTCTTGAACTTGTTTAAATCAATTTTTTGCTAGAGCTTCTTTTCTACATTTTGAGTAGTGGAATTTCCAGCCATTGTCAACAGTTTAATAGGTCTTTGTCTGCTTCGCGTGGAGAAAGAATAATAAACATACGACGCGGAATTCTAAGTAAGTAAATATGTCAATAAAGTTAGCTACAGCTCGTTTAACCTATTAAGTACTAGATTTTTAAATTTTGATTTTTCTGGATTTTTATGCATAACAAGATGTATCGAAATAAGTTTTAAAAATAAAGTTTCATTAATATATTATTTTATTGAATTTTTAGGCTTTGAAACTCCCCATAAACTATCTTAGGCAATTATCTGTCATTTGAAAGTCGTGCCGATTATTTTGAAGGCAAATTTTATGGTTTCTTCAACAATAGGCTGCATAATAAAAATATTTATACATCTGAAAATAATAGAATCATTTATTTAATATTAGCGGATGCGGATCATGGTACTTAATGAGTTAATGAGAATTCAAAATAGCAAAACGTGCAGCAGAGATATGTACCATTTTATTGTTTGAAAGACTGATTTTTCTCTCGCAGTTCTGAGCAGCAGAAGTAAATGTATTGGAGGGAAATGCACTATAATTAACAGATAAGTATCCAGCCATTTCAAATCTCAGTCCTTCTTATCTTCCGATTTTTTTCCGGGTCGTGAAACAAATTTTAAACGCGATTGTACCGATTTATTTCGAGGAAGACTTGATCGTTGTCCATCAGCGGTTTTCAGTCAAAGTTTTTGTATATTTATAAAACAAAAATCTCTTTCAGTGGTTTGATAGGTGTATGTAGAACAAAATACCAGTGAATTTTTTCCAATGAAATACACTGGCACGCTTTTAATGAGACTTTTTTTCAATGAGGATTGATCTACGCTGGTTTGAAAAGCAGAGTTACCAACGTGATCATTTTTTTAGGTTCAAAAGCGAGCTGTAGTCTCAGTCAAATCTGTGGACCTGTAAAGAAACCGCTTTTATTGTTTTGAGCCAGAGTAAAATAGACAAAATAGAAGGCTCATTTCACTGTTTATGCGGACAAGCTGCATGAGTGTTGAATTACTTTCTTTCTCTTCTTCTGTACTTTGAACTGCTGATGACTCAGACAGGACAAAACATACAACGTGGATTTTTCAAAAGCATCGTGGAATGCAGCGTGGATTTTTGTTTTGCATTGTGGATATCCACGTTGCTCTCGCTTTATTCACGCACCATTAAAAATGCTGCCGCTATTAATCTCTTTGTTATAAACTATTTAGATGTCATAAGCCGACCATCCCATCCGTGTTATTTTAAGTACAAATAAATCGTAGTACATATACCGCTTACACCAAGTACTTTCTCTAGTTATCATATTATCACCGTTAGCATGGAACCCGATTTCGAACGTCGTTTATTCATGTCAATGTCCGGTCAAAGTTCACTTAATTCATCTCCATTTTCTTCGCCAATATCTACTCCCGTCAAACATAGTGATCGTTTCATTCCTCTTCGATGTTTAAGTCAACCAAACGCCTATTACATTGATCAAGATTCATCGACAAGAAATTCAGCACTCATGGATAAAAAACAAGCAAACACACGAGATGCGACGTCAGCATCCACAAGCATGGGTAATTTCTTCTCGTTTATAGAAGTAGTTCTAATTATGAACTGATATTTTGTTTTAAGGTTCATCCGATCGAACCAAAGATATTTTAACTTATCAAGCCCTACTACAAAATGAAATGTTTGGCACGAGAATCGATACAATTTATGATGAACAACAAATGGGGGCTAGTGGATCGAATAGCATAGGAGGAGCAGCAGGTAATAATCAACAGCAAGCGGGTGATACAAATGCTGGATCAAATGCACAATCACAAACAGCTCAAACTCCACTACCAACAACAGTAAATAATCAAACGACAGGTATGTATTCAAACTTTACCGTTGCTTATGACAATAACCGTTTTGCTATTTTGAGGTTCAACTCCTGGCGGTCAATCCTCGCCATTTCTTACACCTTGTTCTACCTCTCTACCATTGTCATTTCGTCTCAATTACACGAATACAAATCCAAATATTCTTCGTTCACGTGATCCAAATACAATTTTCAAATATTCTCTCAAACGTAATTTGGATGATTTACATTATTCACCTTACACACTTTCACCTTTATCACCTTCATCCATCAAACTTTTACGCTCGCCACGAAAACAATTGCGTAAAATTCCTAAAACGCCGTTCAAAGTATTGGACGCTCCCGAATTACAAGATGATTTCTATCTGAATTTGGTCGATTGGTCATCAACAAATATTTTAGCTGTAGGATTGAATGCATCCGTTTATTTGTGGAATGCCAATACATCAAATGTAACGAGACTGTGTGATTTACAATCGGAGTCAGATACAGTTACAAGTGTTGCATGGTCAGATCGAGGACAATTTGTTGCAGTTGGGACACATAAAGGTAAAAAATACGATCATGTTGTATTCTTAGTTATAGATTGTTTATTTTAGGTATTGTTCAAATTTGGGATGCACAATCACATCGTAAAACAATTTCTTTTCCTCGTCATACGGCACGTGTTGGTGCATTAGCATGGAATGATATGTGTATTTATAGTGGATCACGCGATCGATTTATTATACAAAATGATACACGTTCAAATAAACAGGAACGAAAATTAGCTGGACATAGACAAGAAGTATGTGGTTTGAAATGGTCACCTGATCGACAATTATTAGCGTCGGGTGGAAATGATAATCGTTTATTAGTATGGAATCAATCATGTTCAACACCAATTCAAACATATACCGATCATACAGCAGCTGTTAAAGCTATTGCGTGGTCACCGCATCAACAAGGGCTACTAGGTAAGCAGAAAACTTAGTATATAAATTAAATTAAATATTCTGTATTTTATTTTCAGCTAGTGGTGGTGGTACAGCTGATCGTTATATTCGATTTTGGAATACACTCACTGCTCAAAATTTACAATGTATTGATACCGGTTCTCAGGTATGCAATTTGGCATGGTCAAAACATTCGAATGAACTTGTATCAACACATGGCTATTCACAAAATCAAATTATCGTTTGGAAATATCCGACAATGGTACAATTAGCACGATTGACCGGTCATACATTTCGTGTGTTGTATTTAGCTGTGAGTCCTGACGGAGAATCGATTGTAACGGGTGCAGGTGATGAGACATTGCGTTTTTGGAATGTATTTACAAAATGTCGAGCAAATAAAGAATCAAATAGTGTACTAAATTTATTCAATAAGATCAGATAGAGAATTCAACTCAATATTCATTCCTTTTCTTTTAATTCAGTACATAGGAATACGATCTTTTTGTCTTTATCAGTGCTGAAAAATTTGTTACCCTTCCATGGCAGTGGTCTCAGATGTTTATAATCCCAATTTTTGTTGATTCTACATTACAATTATATTGAACAGAACCTATGAGCCATTATTATTTGTTTTTTATTTATTCGTCTGTGCTTATGTATAAATTTTAGGCTGTTTATATAAGTTTAAGAAAATGTCTTTGCTCTCTTTTGTAATCATTTTTATCATTGTCTACTTTTTTTTTTTGTTGGTTCTCTAAACAGTTTTTCTTTTGCTCTATTTCTCCCGAACAGTTTTTTCTTGAGCATTAGGAGAAGTACGTTTGTTGAGCTTAATTTATAGTGTTTTTTCTTTTCTTATTTTATTTAGCCATAAAATGATGTTCTGTTGTTATGTTTTTTTCTTACGGTTTTCTTTAGTCAAGAAACTGATGTACAGTGTCTGTGTGTTTTTAACGCATGTTTTTGCGCTATATTTACTGTGTTTTGAGTATCGAGTATCTTTTTGTTTGTTTATGTACAGTGTTATTATTATTTAGCCCATTTATTTGTCTCTTTCTCTCTCTGTTTAGTTTATTTGCTTAACTTAAAAAATCTTTTTTTGTTGAACTTCTGTGAAGAAGGGGTTGTTGAATGAAATATATATGATAGAATTGACAAATATGAACAACGATTTTGATACATAGTTGTATTTCATATTCTAGAAGATAAATTGTTCGTTCACTACGTTTGTTTGCTATCTGGGAGAATTGCAAGCTAAATGTATCGTCCTGCAAAACTAATGGTACTGCGTAAAATGAAGTAACAACCGAATGATATTTAATGATTCTTGCAGGATAGATTATTTATATCTGTGATTAGTTAGTCTACTTAAATCAACTTTTCACATGCTTTTGGTCTTCGGCTACAAAAGAATTAAATTCCTGTTTATGTGAAAAATGGCATGGTCACGAGAACTAGTGGCGCATATAATCACTATAGTTTTGTCATCTGACACGTGTGAAAATTATTTTTTAGGAATTTGCAGAACTTTCTTTCTTCAATGTTTCAAACTGGAATAAATATGGTAACGTTGTCATAGCAGCAGATACCAAAGTGCTTCGTTAGACAGTTACGTGCCTTCCAGTATAAAGACTGAACTTTAATCTCAATCGCCTTTTGTCGAAAGATAGTCCAGAGTTAATATAAGAAAATCGTAAAAAAATATTGAGGATTTTGTCACAGATAAATGAGAAATCAATAATTTACGTTATGGGACCTAGAGCGGTCGCACTAAATGCTTCGTTAGATTTTATTTTTATTTTTAGTATAACTGCCCATCCATCTGTCCATTCAAGCTCGTACTTTTACGATAGATAACCCTTATGATTGACTGTAAATGCTGAAAGTGTGAGATCTTAGTCCGTATTCATTTTAGAGAAGAGTGAAAAAATACTCACAAAATGTTTCGTTAAATTTTTTGTTGCAATATCGCTTTTTCTAGCCTGAGCCTAAGTCTGAATAAAAGTTATCCTTAGCTTATATAAATCGAAAGCCTTTTAAAGAGGCATTCAAGCGAACCTCGTTCCTATCTTCTTAGTAACGAGATCAGTTTTCAATATACCGTTGTATTTTTTGATTTAATTTTAACTTTATCGGAACCCCAAAACTCTTTTCCTTCTGATACTCCGCAAAAGGGTAATATCTTCAACGAAGATCAGTAGATCAGACTCTAGGAATTGCGAAATATACTCAGATTCGATGGTACTAATTTGGAAACTGTGATATCTATTGTGCCTTAAACCTTAAGAACAATTGGCGAAAAAATTTTAAACATACATTTTTTTTCAAAAAAAGTTAAGTCCAAACTTTTTTTTGCAAACCAATTGCGTTTATACAGTATAAATGCTTGACTTCAGATTTTTATGATGAGTACTGATAACAGCCGTGATGATAATATCGAAAAGGAAAGAACAAAACAACGTGTTGTTATTATTCCCGGTATGGGATGTTCTGCTCGTCATTCACATTGGTATTATTGGCTAACATGTGAATTGGCTAAAATTGATAATGGTCAGAAATATTTGTGTATTTTGGAAGACATGCCGGATCCCGCCGAATGTAAAGAATCTATTTGGATACCGTTTATTAAAAATGAATTAAAAGTAGATGAAAATACAATAATTATTGGACATAGTTCGGGTAGTAATGCGTGTATGAGATTAATTGAAAACACTCGTGTTAAAGGTGTGATACTTGTAGCTACATCTTATACAGATTTAGGTTCGGAAGGAGAAAAAAACACTGGATATTTCAACAGGCCATGGTAGATATATTATGATCAATTAGATAATGTATTTTGAATTATTTTTTTTATTACAGGAATTGGGAATTGATGCGTTCAAATGCTGATTGGATTGTTCAATTACATTCTGTTAGTGATCATTTGATACCGGTTAATGAAGGTAGATATGTTGCTCAGCATTTAAAAACTGAATATATTGAACATGCAAGAATGGGACATTATATGGTAAAACAATTTCCAGAATTAGCGAGTATTATCGAAAAAAAATGCAAATAAATTATTTGTATTAGAATTGTGTTTTTTGTCAAATGTTATGTTAAGTTTTCAGTTTTATCGGCAATAAAACGCTTTGTAACAGTCAGGTTATGATGTATCAGTTCATTCAAAAGCGGTAGAAAATACCATAGATTATTATAGCTTATGTGGCCTACTTAGTGAAAATGTATAGAAGGTGAAATAACCAATTTTGGCTATTTTCACTGGAAATTAAAAAATTCATAGTTCAGTCAAAGTCAATCCAAACTAGTCCAAAATTTCAACATATACGCCAATTTATCTGTCGTATACCATGGATTTTAATAAAAGCTACGAGAATCAATAGAGAATACTTGATTGATTTTTTTAATTTTCAGTGAACATGTTCAAAATGGGTTATTTCACCTGCTGTCAAGGGGGGAAACAGCAGACTCCTGGACTCCTGAAGTTCGTAGAAGTGTTGTTATTGTATGAAAATCTATTACTATGTATCAACAATTAATACAACATCTCTAATAACATTGTCCATAGTTCCTTTATTATGACTTGTTTGTTTCCAATCTTGGCAAAGCTTTTAAATCTATCTTTCTCAATATATATTTTTGATCATAATTAATAAACAAACAATAAAATATAGCATGGTTTCACGAATATAAAATTTAAAAAAAATATATCCTTGGGACTACAAGGGACTCCTGGAATCCAGGAGGCTGCTGTTCCCCATTGCCTTCTATACATGAATGACAATTAAAAATACCCCCCAAAATGTACCCTCAAACTATGTGTATTTGAAGAGGACACCTGATTACATATATTCTTCAGTTTTTTCGATGAACTGATAACTATTCATAGAGTTATTAATTAATTAAGTTTAAATTTTAATTAAACTTTCGATTTCGATGGTATTGTAAAATAATTCATTATATTTTATTGGAATCTCCGATCACTGTCGCGGTAGAGTTATTTTGCAGACAATCTTTGGTTGTATATAATATGATTTAAAAAGTTTTCGAACGACATAGGTTTTTTAAGTGAAATATTGTAAAAAGCGTGTTTTTTCTACTTTTAAGCATAAAAAGTAATTTTTGAAAACCTTACCAGCGATTACGCGATAACAAAGAATTTCCGAGAAAAAATTTCGCTGGCGAAGTTGTAGCTGCTGTCATTTTGTATGGGATAAGCGAAACGGAACTTCAAGAAAAAACTTTGAACAGAAGTTAAATGAAAATTAAATAATTTTCAATTTTGAAATTTTTTAATTAATAATTTTTTTTAAGTTTTTGTCATTAGAAAAAAACCTGTTCCGCTTATCCCACGCAGAATTTCATAGAGAACGACTTTTTTTGCAACAATTTCTTTGAGGTATGCTTTGCGTAGTCAGAATCCGTGGCAAGGTTTTGGGATGCGTATCCTTGCAACAAGGGCTTCCGAAATCCCCAGCAATTATTGTCACAACCAATACGTTTTAATCGTAACATAGTGGGTAGACAATCCAAAGTGCTCTCTACAATTCTATGCAAGGCCGACCTCTCCATCTGTTGTGGTTCTCGAATGGCAGCCATTTTCCTGAGTCACCCGTCATCCGTTATCATAACGAATTACGTTCACGAAATAATAACGGATTATGGGTGACTCAGAAAAATGACTGCCATTCGAGAACCACA